GAACATTGTGAGTAAAGTTAGGAAAGTAGGAAAGTAACTAAATGTCCAGGGGACAACAAAATAGGGTACAGTTTGGCCAGACAATATATGCTTTTTATATAGAGAATATACACTAGAGTATAAGGAGGGGAAAATATGAGATAAGGCTAGAAACATAGAATGGTGTCCAACTGTGGGGGTGTTGGATGCCCTCAATGACTTGAGTTAATTCAAGCTTAAAATATTTAAGTGTCAGGGATCATTATAGAGAAATTTCTACATTCAAATGAAACACAAAGATAACACTTGAAAATTACTGTTTTCCCCCACCCACCTCTTCTGTTTTGAGTCCAATCAATGTACCTCTTTTTTATAATTGCAAAGTACTGCCCACCATGAAATTTTGAAACCACAGAATGATAGTGGAAAATATGTTGAAAATCAACATATCTGAGGCCCAAAACGTTCCCGTGCTTTTACAAGTCTGCTCTTCCTTCCACATCTTTTCTCAGTGCTAACACAGAAACAGAATTCAATGGAATGCTATAATTTTTTTTCTAGAGGGCCTGAAAACAACTAAATTCCTTTTATTTCTACCCACTAGTAGAATAAACCCTTACATTTCATTATTTCTCTAATTTAACTAATAAATCAAATATCCCATTTACCTTTTTCTATTTCCTTCCGATATTGGCTTTATTTCTGTAATGGTGGAATACAGGCAAGATATATTTTCCCAGATGATACCTTGGGTCCTGCAGAAGCAACACCAGGCCCACTTTTGCCTTGTCATCTTACCCTCTGCTAATATGTAGGGCACAGGGCATAACATTAAGTCTCTAAGCATCCAGTGAAGATTTTCTCTACAGCTGCCCACATGTAGCACAAGCCTGTCATGCCTCAGGCTTAAAAACAGTGGGAAAGAAGGAAACTTTTACTGACCCAAGTTCTCCATTCTATAATAAGATATAGGATATGCTCCAAAATGACTAAATTAGGAAATTTTCTTCTTTAAGATTTTAAGCCCCCATGCCCACTTTTAGGATCTCTCTTCCTCATTAATTAACCTTTCAATTCATTATTATGACAGAGGCAATCCACCTTTTGGCTACTCTCATGTTTTTCTTTTTAACAAATTATTAAAAAATACCAAAGGAAAAAAAATCCACATCGCACTATATACATATACATATCATATCATATCATATCATATCATATCATATCATATCATATCATATCATATAGTATAGTATAGTATGTTATATTATGTTATATTATATTACATTATATGTTATGTTATGTTATAGTATATTATATTATAGTATGTTATATTATGTCGCATCATATCATATCTTACCATATCATATCATAGCATATTATATTATGTTGGTATTCAGGCATTTAAGTTGTTTCTGACTCCTCATGACCCCATTTAAGGTTTTCTTGGATGCTGAAATAGTTTGCCATTTCCTTCTCCAGCTCATTTTATAGATGAGAAAACTAAGGCAAACAGGATTTAAGTGACTTGCCCAGGGTCACACAGCTAGTGGTGTCTGAGGCCATATTTGAACTCATGAAGATGAGTCTTTCTGATTCCAAGCCCAGTTCTGTATCCACTGCACTACCTAGCTGCTCCTCCATATGCAATAGAGGAACATAAAAAAGGACTATTCATGGAACTGTGAATCTGTATTATGCACAACCTGCTTTTCTTAAGTATATAATAAATTCAACATGTAGCTTTTGAAGCTATCCTGCTTACATGTGATTCCTTCTGACTTTCCTTCTGTTTTCTTCCTTGCATTAAAAAAAGTTTCCAAACCCTATTTTCTTTTTGTTCTTTTCTATTTTTGACAATCCTACTCCTAGTTACTATCTTTCTTCTGTCTCCCCCTTCCCTTGGGGAAAAAAAAAACACAAATATATATAGTGAAGCAAAACAAATCCAGCTGTGTCCAAAAATGAATATTTTCTTTGTCTTAAAGCTATCATCTATCAGGAAGTAGGTAGCATTCTTTACCAGTTATCCATAGTCATGGCTGGTCATTGCATTGATTAGAATTTGTAAATCTTTCAAAATTTTTGTCTTTACAATGTTATTGTATAGCTTGTTCTCCTGGTTCTGCTTGTTTCACTCTCTATCAGTTCATACAAGTCTTCCCAAGTTTCTGTGAAACCTTTCTTCATTATTTATTTCTTACAGTAAATTTTCATTACATTTATATACCATAACTTTTCTAGCCATTCTCTAATAGATCAAAACCTCTTTAGTTTCTTTGCTCCTACCAAAAGAATTGTTATAAATAATTCTGTACATATTGGTTATTTCCCTCTTCCTCATCTTTTTTTTTTCTCTTTTCACAACCTTAAGTATAGGCCTAGTCATGGTATTGCTCGGTTAAAGAGTATACACCGCTTAAAAACTTTTGGAGAATAGCTTGAAATTACTTTCCAGAATGAGTGAACTGAGTCACATTTCCCCCAGTAGTGCATTAGTGTGCCTGTTTTCCATAATACCTCTAATATTTATCATTTTCCTTTTTTATTATCTTTGCCAATCTGATGAGTAGAAGGTGAGACTTTGGACCTACTCTAATTTGCATTTTTGTGATTATTAGTGGTTTGGAACATTTTTCACACGTTTGTTGGTAGCTTGAATTTCTCTTTTGAAAATTGCCCATTCACATTCTTTCACTGTCAGTGGGGATGGTTCTAATTCTCATAAATATGAATCTGTCCTAGAAAGATATCTTAGAAATGAGAACTTTATCAGAAAATTCCAACAAATATTTTCCCAACTTCCTATTTCTCTTCTAATTTTAACTACATTGGTTGCATTTCTGCAAAAACTTTTAAATTTTGTGTAGTGAAAATTGTCCATTTTATCTACTGTCATGAAAACTTTCCTATCCGTAGATCTGAAAGATAATTTCATCCTTGTTCATCTAGTTTGTTAGTGATGTCACCCAAATCGTGTGTCTTTTTGAAGTTTATCTTGGTGCATGGTGTAAGAGTTGGTCTATACCTAATTTCTGCCAAATTTCTTTCCAATTTTCCCTATACTTTTTATCAAACACTGAGGCCTGTTCCATGTAGCTGGGGTCTTTGCGTTTATCAAACACTAGGCTATGTACTTAATGTGTTACACTGACTGACCTCTCTATTTTTTCACAAGTACCAAATAGTTTTGATAATTACTTCTTTATAGTATAATTTGAGATATCGTTACTGTTAAGTCCCTTTACCTTCTACTATGCATTCTTTCCCTTGAGATTCTTGACATTTTGCTCTCCAGATAAATTTCATGATTAATTTTCCTAGTTCTACTGGTAGGTTGATTGCTGTGTCACTAAATGATTAATTTACATAGTATTGCCATTTTTATTATATTGGCTTAGCCTAAGCATGAGAATTAATACTTCTCCACATCTGCCTTCATTTCTGTAAAGAGTGGTTTATATTTGCATTCATATAGTTCTCATAGACCTTTACTTTGAAACTTTGAGAAACAGACACTTGCATACATTTTCCTGTCTTTCCCTTTGCAATAGAGATTTCTTTCCCTCAGCCAAAACTTCTGAAATAAAACAGAGCTTTAGTAACACCTGCTATACCATATTTTCTCTGATTAAGGGTCTTGAAACCATGAAGTGAGGAATATAGAATGTTCTCCCCTAAAAGGAACCTTAAAAGTCATCTACTACAGCCCTTTCATTTGACAAATCCAGAAACTAAGGTGAGAGGGGTAGGCTGTGCATAGAGACACAGAGTAAGTGCCAGAGCCAGAACTAGAACCCAGGTTTCTTCCATCCCAGTTCAGGATTCCACCTTGCTGACTCCTCTAAGGTGACATCACAAGGGCTATGACCCCTGGAAGAACTGAAGCATTGAATTTTTTCTTTCTTTGGTTCTTGTAGGGGCATCCCTCTCAGGTTCTCCCTCTATTTCCTTTGTCTCACTTTAGGTGCCAAGAATTTATTGTTTAGATCCAGGTGAGATCCTAGGATACCAGGATATTAAATGTATCCATCAGTATACTAAAATGTAGTAGCCTCACAATAAATATTTGTTGAATGAATGAACTTAAAAGCTTGTCTTTCTAGGAGGACAATATGGTGGCTTTGCCATTGGGGATCTTGGGTCTCCAAGTCTCAATTTCCTCAACTATAAGAAGGACATAATAATATTCACACTACCTGCCTCACACAGCTATTATGAGGATCAAATTAAATAACATCAATGAAGAACTTTGTGCCTGTAAAGCCCCTCATCGCTGTAAACTAATACTATTGCTCAGTCCTATCACTTTGAAAAAACTTTCTTTGAAAGCTATAGCCTCTATTTCTTTCTCTTTGCTTTTCTTTGTGTGAGCATGTGTGCATGGGTCTCTGTGTTTTCTCTTTTCATGTATCTTAGCCCTCTCTATCTGTGTCTTATGTACCATTGCCTTTACAGCATCGCTGTTTGGTTGTTAGGATTTATTAAAATTATATCCTCATGCAAAGCTTTTATCTGTTTAAGCTAATGTCCCCAGTTCAGATTAACAGAGATTTATATGTTTTGAGATAAAATCCCCCAAAGTAATCAATGTCAGTTTGAATCCTCTTTGCACAATATATTAAATTTCAATATGTCAAGGATCTGGACACTGCGGACACTTCCTTCGTTGATACAGATATCAGCCTCCTCCTTATTCCTTAGGAAAAAAAGCATGGAGGAGAGGAAAAGACAGTGGCATAGGAGAAAGCAGCATAGCCCAGTTCTCTACAATGCCTGCTCCAACAAAGATCCATCCAAAAAGCACACAAAGTAGTGATCAGGAAATCCAAAGAAAAGTTGTAGTGAATCCTTTTTTCCAGCATAAGATTATAGACCCGAGTGGGTCTGTGGCTGTTGTCCTGACCCTGGAACAGGATCATGGATTCAGCAAACAAGTACAGATCAGGGGTGCCCTGTCTCTCTAATCCAAGAGCAGAATGAAAGATCCAGTCTGATGGCACAGGTTAGGAGTGAGTCTTTACCTCTGTGATCCCAGGCTCAGGCGTGAGTAACCAGGATATCAGCCTGCAGCTCTGTTGCTCTGACCGAGTCCAACAGATATATCTACCAGATCTCCAAGCAGGCGCAAGTCTGAAGTTGTGCTGGCCAGACCCAAACTGCAAAGCTGAGACCAGAAATGCAATGATTAAACTATGCCTTAAATCACCCTGCTTGAGTCATCCCTGAGACCCTTGAAGAATACTGCACTTAAAATACGATAGGACCCCAAATAATAGATATTAGGAGCAAACAAAGCCCTAACATTCCTTCCAGAAGTGTTCAGAGCTTCACCTTAACACAAAATTTCACTTTGGGAAGTACATTCAGAAGAATGAGTAAACAAATAAACAAACAAAAAGATACAGACAATACAGAGATTTTATGCATACAGTGATGCCCAAGGCACAAACCTAGAAGAAATAGGCTTCTGAGCAGCTGTGTCCAAAAGAAAAAAAAAGTCATCTCCTAGTGGCCATCCTTCTTTGGCCCTGCCTACTTTGGTCTGACAACATTGAGAAAACAATCCATTGCCAAGTCCATAGCTTGAGACTTTCTAGCTTAGTAGGATCTTCCAGAACACTCATTCAACTATAATAGCTTTTATGGAAACAAAGTCTCTATGGTGTCTAGTTTAAGTTCCAATGTCATGATGATATCATGAAGATGAGCATATAAAAAAAGCAGGGATCACTGGGAGTCAGCATGGGCTCATCAAAATCAAATTATGCCAAACTAACCCAGTTTTCTCTTGATAAACATAGTACATAGAATTCTGAACTTGGAGATAATAGAACTGGATTTGAATACTGTCTCAGACGCTTAACAGCTATGTGATCATGGGCAAGTCATTGCATTACTAATAGCCTCAGTTTCCATCTCTATAAAATGGGAGCAATAATCCATGTCTCATATAAGTCACAGGGTTGTTATGATGAATACAATTTTCAGACTTCAAAATGCCATATATATATGTGAGTTACTATTGTCACTTTGTTGAAAGAGAAGCACCATGGTATACTACATGGTATACTATATAGAGAAGCCTTAGAGTCAGGAAGACTTGCGTATAAATCTGGCTTCTGATATATATTAGATAGGTGACCACAGACAAATTACTTAACTGCTCAGGTTTGTAGCTAGGGAAGGAATTTTCACACCAGAAGTGTTCTACAACAATGAAATTACATGTCTGCGATGTAAATGTGTATATTGATCCATATACATGACTGAAATATAAATAGATGTGCATATGTATATGTACACATGCAGAATTTCTCTAATGATATGTCAGGGTACTGTTATAAACATAGTTTCCTGGGTTTTAGCAAGGAATTTAGCAGGTTTTCTAGTTCTATCTTTGTGTACAAAATGGAGAAATTTATATTGGAAGATAGCAGCTTGTTCAATTCAAAAATGGTTAAATAAATGAACCCAAACAATATTGATTAATGTTCACCTGGAAAAAGGCATCTAGTAAAGTGTCACAAGGATTTTTCTTCAGGTTCCTTCTCTTCAATATCTTTATTAATAACTTAAATGAAGCTGTAGATGGCATATTTATCTATGTCAGCTTGATGGGAAAGCCAGTTAACATTTTACTTGCCAAAATGGTGATACAAAATGATCTCAGGAGACTGAGATAATAGACCGAATCTGATAGGAGAAATTGAATAGGGGTAAATGTGTAATGTCCTGCATTGGCATTCAAAAAACCAACTGCAAAAAGCAGAGGAACAGGGAGCTATGATTCAACAGGAGCTCATATTAGAGGCAGTTGGCTGCTCACTGGGTAAAACACTCAGCCCGTAGTCAGGAAGACCTGATTTCAAATCTGACCTAAGACACTTACTAGCTGTGTGACCCTGGGCAAGTCACTTAAACCTGTTTGCCTTACTTTTTTCAACTATAAAATGGAGATAATAATGGCACCTACCTCTCAGGGTTGTTGTGAAGATCAAATGAGATATTTGTAAAGCACTGAGCACATAATAGGCATGTCAATGCTTCTTTCCTCTTTCCCATATAAATGGGAAGATTCTCTCCCTTCCCTGCCCCCTTTGTGAATCAGAGAAATTGAAAATTGGATGGGACCTCAGAAGTCAAAGGAATCCCCACTACAAGTCCAACCAGTGGTCATTTAGTCTTAGCTTGAAAAAGACCTCAAGCCCAGGGCAAAATAGACCTTGGTGTCTTAATGAGCAGTTCATGTCATATGATTCAACAGTGTGATATGACACCCAAGAAGCTAATGCATTTAAAAACTACATTAATGGAAGTATGGCAGCAAGAATTTGCAAAATTATTTTAATGACTCTGAGCTTCTCCTTGAAATAAGGACCCAGCTTTTCAGTATTAATATTTTCCCAGTATTGTGCCATGCTCACGTACATGTAGTGACATGGCTAAAGGAAGGGAACTCTACCACTTCCGAAGAACTGAAAATAAGTATCACCTGGAGTTCAGTGGAAAAATGAACAGTCACTGTGAGACCAAGACACCTACATACAGGGAATGATGAAGAATTGAAGTACATGGCCAAGCAGCAAGTATTTATTAAAGGGCTTTCATGTGCCAGTGACTAAGCTAGGCACTGTAGATACATATACAAAAGGGAATCAGACCTTGACCTTAAAGAGCTTGGATCCTACCAGTGGAAGAGGAAATGCTATCAAAGAAATGTTTCAGCAAAAAAAGGTCATAGGGTCATAGGCTGAAGGAGACCTTAATGGTCATGTGGTCTAATCTCTTTATTTGACGGTTGAGGACTATGAGGATCAGAGAGGTTAAATGACTTTTTTTTTTTACTTTTTCTTTCGGAATAGGAAGGGAACTCAATGGTCATTTAGTGCAACTCATATATAAAAAAGAATATCCTATACATCATACCCAACAAGCAGCCATCTAGCCTTTGCTTGAAGATGTCCAGTGAGTGAGAGAAAATAAACTACCTCTCAAGGCAACAACAACAGCAGTTGTAGTAGTAGTAGTAGTAGTAGTAGTAGTAGTAGTAGTAGTAGTAGTAGAAGGAGGAGGAGGAGGAGGAAGAGAAGAAGAAGAAGAAGAAGAAGAAGAAGAAGAAGAAGAAGAAGGTAGAAGAAATAGTAGTAGAAGGTAGAAGTAGTAGTAGTAGTGGTAGTAATAGTAGTAGTAGTAGTAGAAGAAGTAGTAGTAATAGTAGTAAGTAGAAGTAGCAGAAGAAGTAGTAGTAGTCATCATAATAGTAGTCATTGAAGGAAAAGAAGTAGCAGTCCAATGTTTACCTCAGTTTTCTTACTGTAAAATGTGGATAATACAGATCAAATAAGATAATATTTGTAAAAAGAATGCTTAATATAGTACCTAATACAGAATAGGTGCTATGTGAATGCTTCTTCTTCCCCCCTCCACCCTTCCTTTGCAAGTTGTAACAGCAGCAGCAAAAACAGCAGTAACAGAAGGTAGTAGTAGTAGTAGTAGTAGTAGTAGTAGTAGTAGTAGTAGTAGTAGTAGTAGTAGTAGTAGTAGTAGTAAAAGTAATATCATTGCTAACATTTGTATGGTGCTTTAAAGATTACACATATTTTACATATATTATTATGATTGATTCTTACAACAACCCTGTGAAGTAGTTGCCATTATTATCCTCATTTTACAGATAACTGAGGCTGACAGAAGTTAAATGACTTACCCAGGATCTCATGATGAGAAAGCATCTGAGGTCCTTTTCAGACACTCAGGTCCTCCTGACTGCAACATCTCCTAGCTATGTAGGAAGAAAGGTAGCCCATTCCATTTTTTAAAGGTAGCTGTAATTGTTAGGAGAGGCAGCTAGGTGGCTCAGTGGGAAGACTACTGAGCCTGCAGTCTGGAAGACTTGGGTTCAAATCCATCCTCAGATAACTTACTCAGATAGCTGTATGACTTGGGTAAGTCATTTAACCTTTGTTTCCTTTAATCTACTGGAGAAAGAAGTAGCAAATTACCCGAGTATCTTTGCCAAGAAAACCCCATGGACAGTATTGGCTTGATCTGGTCCAAGGGGTAACAGAGTCAGGAATGACTGGACAATAATGGTGAGGGAATTTGTTCTCACATCAAGCTTCTTGGCAGTTCTGTCCATCGTTCCTAGCTCTGTTTTCTGGTACTAAGAAGTCCAAAACGTCTTCCGTATTACAGTTGTTCAAATATTTGCAATTTTAGGTCTGATGTAAGGGGGGAAAAACAAATACTTTGTAACAATTGGAGTTTTTCAAAAGCTTAATGGGTTGCTTCAAGAGACTGTCGGTTTGCCTTTATTGAAGGTGTTCAAGCAAAGGTTAGAGAACCATTTGTAAGGTATGTTATACAAAGGATTTCTTCTTAAATATGAAGTGGATGAGATGTCTCCTGGGATTTTTTCCAACTCTGAGATGCTTTGATTCTGTGCAATTATAGAAACTGATCGCAATTCTTTTTTTTTTTCTTGGAGGTCTTCAAGGTAAGGCTGGATAACCACTGTTTAGGTATATTATAGAGGAAAGGTTTGAAACATGTGACCCATCAACCAATGAGTGCATCCCTCAACACTCCCAAATACAGGCAGAATCAGATTAAAATGCAATTCTAAAATATTTAACAAAATAAATAAAAATACATTAGAACATTAATAATGTTAACGTGGTTTTCTATATGGTCTGCAGGGATCCATTATATATGGTTTAGTGGCCCTATTTCTATTTGAGTCTGATACCACTGCTGTAGAGGAACTTTTTTTATGTATGGGCTGAATTAGATGACCTTGAATTCCGTTCTAACTCTGAAAAACTAAAAAAAATGCTACTTATCCTTTTTGGAAAGGGGCTTCTAAAGTCCCTTCTAGCCATAAATCTATAGCCTTCTGATCCCATATATTTATTGAGAGATCACAAAACCTCATGATTCTAGGCACAGTTTTCAGAGGAAAAAGGCCAAGACTTTAACCTCAACCATCCATGTGTCCCAGTTGTCCTAATGGGAAAAATAATGGGCAAGTTATCCCACAGACTTATCTGATGCCAGTTTTTGGTAGGGCCACCCAGGAGCCCACCCAAAACTAAGTTTTGCCTGACTCATCATTTCTTTTCTCACTTCCTCCTCGTTTTTACCACTTAGTTTTTCTTGTTCATGTCAGCAGAGACTGACTGAACATGTGTGACACATACATGTAACTATACACAACTGGAATCTAGATCCCTGAAAACACAGCTGCCTCAACTTTCTATGAAATCAACAATGAATACAACCCAGACACCTTCATTTCTGTTGTCTTTTGTTCACAAAGTCTTCTTTTCCTCTCTATTTGCTATTTCAGTCACATTTTACATAAGGTTTTTCAGTTCTCTAACTTCAAATAAGTGACTGTCTGAGGTTAGGAGGAGTACTGCACCATGCTCCCAGCATCCTTCATCAGAATACACTTTAAACAAGGGGCAACCCTTAAATAGTAATGATTATATAACAGAAACCACACACCTGTGCCTCCAAAAACTCCCTAACGAAGCTAGACTGTCACTTTGAATAAGTGAAGAAGCCATTTAAAAATATGTCTGAGACCTGGTCAAGCTGCTTGCTTTGAAATATTATTTGTGACTCCAACAGTATAAATATTCAACTTCCCCTAGGTTTTAAGCTACCTTAATGGTAATTCTGTAATTGAATTTCTGTAACAAATTCAGATCTCATTAGTGATTTGGGACTCTAGCCATCGTCTTGCCTGAACTGCAAAATAGTCTACACACATTTCATTTCAGTTTAGTATTTGTACCACTGTAGGCAGGAGTTACATGGGGACACCATGAGGACAACATTAGCTCCTTTGGCTAGAGGCTACTCTGGTCAAAAATAGGGTAAGATTTATTCTTTATGGACCTGGAAAACCACAGTCACCCAACACTGTGTGTGAAAGGTGACAATGGCCTGAAATAGTACAAGACCATGAAAAGTACTCAAGGCCATGGAAACCATACAGATTTCTGGCCCAAAGGTGCTAAATTTACCATTCCCTTCTAACAGATAGACGAATCTTATTATCAACTCAAGTAATGGACTGCTTCAACAAAGAATAAGACTTACCACAATAGGTATTGCCTGGGAAGTTGGGCGTGGTGGCATAGGTTGAGTTATTTATTTGGCTCTCACAATAAATAGATGCCTGGAAGGAAAAAAAAAATACACCAACTTGCTTTCCATTGCTACCATCTGGCTGCCAGAAGCCATAATTAACACCCTTGGAAGTTATGAGCAGTTGATGAGTGGAGCTCAGTTCTCTGCAGCCCCAGCAATGTTTCTGCAGCACTTCTCATCAACATGGAAACTTTCCCAAAACCACAGTGGCTGGATGAGAAGCTCTCTTGCAATTCTTATTTGTAGATCTGTTTTGTGGTTTATTTTTAAGAGGTTGAAGACTGGGCTACAGACTCTTCAATCTGAACAGTTCAGCATCATTCAATTCAACAAACATTTTTAAAGATATACTTTTAAGAAATCTAATGCAAATGATGTCATGGCGGTTATGTAGGAAAGGAGCAAACCCCAGGGAGGGTGAAAGCAATTCTAGTAAAAGAAAAAAAGAAAAAAAAGAAAAGATCAGAGAAGGAGTCATGGGGAAAGTTGTACTTGAGTTGGACCAAGGAGAAAAGGTTCAATAATCAGAGATTGGAAGTTATCCTAGGAGAAAGGCATATAAGCAAAGGCATGATTACAAATGACAGTGGGGTATCTTTTGGGGGGAATAGCTCCTAGGCAACTTGAGGTTACCTTCAGCTCATATCTGAACAAGATACCACAGACTCAAATGTTAATCTTCACATAACTCCATAGAAAGTAAGAGACAGAAAGCATCTCAAAGACCATCTAAATCAACCTGTTCATTTTACACAAGTGAGGCCCCAAAAGGTTAGAGACTTACCTAAAACCATAGGCACTATGGATAAGAGGATTGGAATCCAGGTCCTCTGACTCATACTGACTCCCATTGAACTGAACAATATCAGGATCATTATCTTTAAATACAATAGACAGACAGATGGATGGACTGCTGAACAGAGGGAGAGAGGGGGAAAAAGAGATAGAGACAAAAAGAAACAGAGACAGACAGACAGAAGGATACACAGAGACACTGAGTGAAACAGAGACAGAGAGGAAGAAAGAGAGAGGGGAGAAGAGACAGAGACAAAGAGACAGAGAGAGAAAAAGAGAGAGTGAGAGAGAGGGAGAGAGAGAGAGAGAGAGAGAGAGAGAGAGAGAGAGAGAGAGAGAGAATGAGAGAGAGAGAGAGAGACTGACTACTGGACAAAGGGAGAAAGAGAGCCAGAGACACATAGAGACAAACAGAGACAGATAGAGACACGAAGAGAAACAGAAAGACAAACAGAGACACACAAAGAGAAAGAGACTGACAGATGGACAGAGACAGAGAAAGGAAGAGACAGAAACAGAGAAGCAGACAGAGAAAGAAAGTCCTGATAAGTGTAGATTTCTGAGGGACAGTCCCAGATTGTCAACACAGTGTCACTCAGGCAGCAGAATTGGAATGTATAGGCTTTCTCTTCTTTGCAGAAGTGAGAGACTATGAGTATGGAACATTATGTATATTATGAACTATGTAGTTCTCAAATAAGGGACAGATCATAGAGTCAAGTTGAGAGAGGTCATTCCATCAGTTGAGCTACAGACAACTTCTGCTAGGGAAAAATGTAGCTAAGTACTTTAAGGTAAAGCAGCTAGGTGGTGCAGTGGGTAGAGTCCTGGGCCTGGAGTGAGGAAGACCTGAGTTCAAACCTGGCCTCAGACACTTACTAGCTATGTGACCTTGGGAAAGTCACTTAACTCTGTTTGCCTCAGTATCCTCATCTGCAAAATGAGCTCAAGAAGGAAATGGCAAACCACTCCATTATCTTTGCCAAGAAAACTTCATGGACGGTATGGTCCACAGAGTCACAACAACAACACCTCTAGTGCTGAAGCCTGTTGTTCCCTGGGGGAGGGGGGGACAAGCATATATTAACCACGTACTATATGCCAGGCACTGTGCTATGCCCTTTATAAATACTATCTCATGTAATCCTCACAACAACTTTGGGAAGCAGATATTATTATGATCACCTTTTTACAGCTGATGAAACAGACACACAGAAGTTAAGTGACTTGCTCAGGATCACACAGCTAGTAAATGTCTAAATGTTTGACACCATGCCCAGAATTCTTATCTTCTGCTCAGCCTAGCTGCCCTTCTCACAGAAGTTTTAAATGTACAAAATAAAATGCATAAGATTGCAAAATAAAATTGTACTGAAATATATTTGTTAAAACACGTTTTTAAAAAGTGAATTCACAGACTCCACATTAAGAACCCCTGCTCTAGTGCATCATCCTGTGTATGCCACAAAGCTCAAGTATTAAATTACATTGAGTAACCTCAGTGTTGGATAGTGGGGCTAAGGAACCAAAACCGTTTTTATTTCTGATTTTTAAAATTATGTTCTTATTTTGTTTGTGTATACTCTTTGGTTTACAACTCAGCAGAGGCATTCAGTCATTTTTTTAACCCATATTTGTATAAATCTGTGGTCAGAAACCATTTTCTTTTGGTTTTGTTTTAACTTCCTCCACTGGTGTCCCAAACAGACCTGCTACTCCAAAGAGGACCACAATGCATCTGTTGTATTCCTAGAGCAGAGCCTGCAACACTCCCAAGTGTGGCCTAAAATAGGTTAGCATAGAATTGGAAAGTATTTAACAAAATAAGTAAAAACATGATAAAACATAGATAATGTTAATATTTGGCTTTCTAAGTCAATATGCACTTCCAGGTATCTTTGTATATGGCTTAATGGCCATAGTGGCCAGTGTCTATTTGAGTTTGATATACTGTTCTAGAGAATTTTAGTCCTTGACCATCCTGCACTCTGTGACTAAGAAAGATGTTTCAATCACCACTTTCATCCACCTTTGTAAGAATGTTATCAAGTAGTACTGCCCTCATACGGCTCCGTATGGCTCTCAGGATGTTACAGGCAATGTGTCATACTGCTCCCAATTGCAAGCTTCTCAAGAGCCATATCCTTCGTACCTTCCATAGTGCCTGACATTTATATGGAAGGCACTCAATAAATAAGTAATTGATGTTTTTACTGATAGACAATGAATGAATGCTTAGGAATCTTTGAAACTTTCAGTGTCATTCTCTCCAAAAACTGATAGAAGAGAGAAGAATCAATCGTTGTCTTCTCAGTCCTACCTTATGCTCAGCCCCAGGAGAAAATTGCTATGCCGTACTCAAGAATGTACATGATTCTGACTCTGGTATTTTTATACATATTTGAATGGAACATAAAAATTTCTGGAGAGAAGGCAGGGCACCCAAAGAATGAATACCTCATTGGCTCTTCACCTTAGTGGGGGTCACGAGCTGGAGAGCTAGAGAACAAAGCAAATTTGGGCTGTGCTTCATGTACAAGAGGTACTTTCGCTGTACCATCTATACAAATTCTCCTTTTACAATGTGTTGTATTGGTTTACAGGAACCTGTTCTTCAACTTGAAGACCAAAGAAATTGGGTTTTTTGTATGAAAAGATGATTGAAAAAATAAGAAAACAACTACACAAAATAAATGGAAAGAACAGCAACAAAAGGTAAACCAAACACTTTATGAAACTGAACAATTACAACATGACCTTAGAGATGAATTGAGAAAATATGTTTTCTTTCTTTCTTTTTCAAAGGTAGGGAACTGGAGGGATGAAAGAATATTGTATATACTGTCATAATCAAATTGATTTCTTGGTTAGTTTTATTGAACTTCTCTCCGCACACACACTTTTTTTGTCACAAGGGGATGAACAGAGGAGGGTTATGTTGAGCAGCAAAGGGGATATAAACATGAAAGATATCAATAAAAAGCTTAAATATAATTGAAGCTTATGGGAATCACAATTGTATTTTAGTGGAAAGAGAGTGTGAATGACTTTCAACATACCCAAGGTTCAAATACAGACTCTGCCATTTAATCCTTATGTGACATTGGGTGATCAGTGCCTTTCTGGGTTTTAGTTTCCTTATTTGTAAAATGAAGGGATTGGGCTAGATGATCTCTGAGGCTTCTTCCAACTCTAAATTCTATCATTTTATTCAAAGTATATATTTCTGACTAGGTGAATATAAATGTGAATATGTGACCAACTTTCCAGGATCCTATTACATTGTCTTTTCAAATTCCATCTTAAAAGCTAACTTTTCTTTCTTTCACAAGCTTTTAAATGATGATTTGGTGACAATGACTGAATGCCTTCATTTGCTTATTATTAAATATCTCCCATTGCTTTTTCAAGAAAACCATGTGCTGCCCTATTTTGCTCTAGAGCAGCTAACTCTTCCCACAGCTCTATTATGGGCAGCAAGGGAGAAATAGCTCTGTTTTATCCAGGGCACAAAAAAGAACTCACCTCCAGGAATAATAACAGTGCTCTTGCATTGCCCTGGCCACATCATCCAGAGCCCCGAGCCACTGGCTGTGACCGAGCAGTGTGGAGCAGTATAAGGTACACCACTGTTTTCCTACTGACTGAATGACAACAGAGTTTCCATTATATATGCATAGTACAGGCTGAATTGACTGATAGTAGTCTTTCTAGAGAATGTACTCCCAGAGCTGACCTAAGGTTGATAAATGACCTTCCCTATAATCACCTGTTTTTTTCATTCAGTCAATTAAGCATTAATAAAGCACTTACTATGTGCTGTGCTAAGCACAAAAGTTGTAAAGAAAGGCAAAAGTGTGGTCCCTGCCCTCAAGGAACTCACATTCTAATGGGAGAGATGATATGAAAATAATTGTGTATATATAAAATATATGTGTGTGTGTATGTATGTGATATGATATATATGGCATACATATATTTATATGATGTAAATGGAAAGTAATCTCACTTGGAGGTTGGGAGGAAGGAAGGGCAAGAAAGGCCTCGTAAAAAAGGGATTTGATCTGAGTCTTGAAGAAAGCTAGGAAGACTAAAAGGCAAAGGAGTGGGGGGAAATCATTCAAGTCCTTGGGAGTAGCCAGTGCAAAGGTAGGGTAAAGGAACACAGGACGTCATCTGCAAGCAGCTGTAGGTAGGTTGGTGCAGCTGGAGTGAGGTGTTGTTGTTTGTCCTTCATCCTCCAAGAGGACCATAATATCAGGAAGGTGATGCCATGACTTGCAAGTGAACAGGATTTAAGTGAGTCAGAACTGTGCAAAGTTACCAGCCTCACTCTCTCCTCTAAAGTCATCTGGGTCCAGTGGCAAGATGTAGATCAGGATGACTAGAGATGACCCCAGATGCAGTGGGAGACCTTGGCCTTTTGAAGTGTAAGAAGACTGGAAAGGTAGGAAGAGATTGAGTTGTAAAGGACTCTAACTGCCAAACAGGGGATTTTATAATTGAAACTAAAAATGATAGGGAACCACTGGAGTTTATAGAATAGGGGGTGACATCAGACCCCTTTAGGAAGACCGCTTTGACAGCTGAATGGAGGGTGGATTGGAATGGAAAGAGATTTGAGGGGAAATGATATCCATTAGGAGGCTATGATCACATTCAGGCAACGTTGTTCTGTATCATTCAATTTCAGCTAATTCCTGAATCACTTAATGAGACTTCCAAAAGCATGCTTCACACTTAAGGTCCGACCATGGAAAAACTCTTGGAGATTCTGTCATCTTTCACTCATTAGTCTTTTTTTCCTTTTAAATAGTATTTTATTTTTTCCAATTACATATGAAGACATTTTTAACATTCTTTTTTTAAATAAAATTTGAGTTTCAAATATTTTCCTCCCTAAGACAGTAAGCAATTTGATATAGGTTATATATGTGCAATCATATAAAACATATTTCCTTATTAGTCATGTTGTGAAAAAAGAAACAGAACAAAAGGGAAAAAACTTGGAAAAAATAAAGTGAAAATAGTATGTTTTAAAATGCATTCAGATTCCATCAGTTCTTTCTCTGGATGTTTCACTCATGAGTCTTGACCCTATCAGAGAAAAGGCAACAGAGAATGGGGGACAATCCATAGATGTCGCACATCTGAAGAACTGATATT